GCATTATAATTTGCCAGCTTTGGAATCAGCCATTTCATCGATAACGTTGGCTCACAGGACACGACCAATTGCGTTTTTTTAATGGGCTGCTGCAAATCAAGTAAGCAGGTATCTAACTGCTTAAACACGTTTTCACAGCAAGCGTATAAGGTTTTACCTGACTCAGTCAGCTTTAAGCTTTTATTTACTCTATCAAACAGTTGAATATTTAACAATTGCTCTAAATTTTTGATCTGTTTACTGACCGCACTTTGGGTAACATGCAGCATATCAGCCGCGACCGTTACACTACCAAAATACGCCACATAGTAAAAGAACTTTAACGCGTTAAGAGAAATGCGTTCAACCATGCTAAAAACTCATCAATTGCCATGCCAATAAGTCGATTTTAGGCGAATTAGGCTTATGTCACAATGCATTCATCGAAAGTATGTAGTCCAATCATTAACCAAAATTCATGTAAATATCAAAAGCGAGTGTTTTATGGCAGAATTTTTAGCAGTTGTCCTCATTACCATTTTGGCCGTGATTAGTCCTGGCGCAGATTTTGCGATTGTGACGAAAAATAGTTATTTGTATGGCAGACAGATCGGGATATTGACTGCACTGGGTATCGCCTTAGGGGTACTGGTACATGTCAGTTATACCTTAGTGGGTGTTGCTGTAGTATTAAAGTTTGCCCCCAATTTTTTAACCTACATTAAGTATTTAGGGGCGTTTTATCTTATTTATATTGGCTATAAAAAATTTACTCAATTACCTGTGGCAGATACTAATCGTTCAAATCCGCTAAGCAAACGCCAAGCCTTGCAGTATGGCTTTTTCACCAATGCGTTAAATCCCAAAACGACGTTGTTTGTGGTCAGCACTTATACACAGATTGTGAGTAGTTTAACGCCCAAGGCAGTTTTAATTGGTTATGGCTTGTTTATGTCATTGGCGCATTTTGTGTGGTTTGCGATGGTTGTGTTGGTATTTTCTCAGCAGCAATTGCGTCAACAGATGCTGCAACGACAAGTAGTTATCAATCGGGTGATTGGGTTGATACTGGTAATGCTAGGTATATTTTTATTGCTAGCCCATGTGTAAGATTTAACAATCGGCTTTTTCGCATATTATCTAATCTTTATAAAACACCGATCATGAGATCATTTGGCTATCATAACAACTACAACTTTGTCAGAATGTTTGGTGGCCTTTT